GAAGGTATAGCGAATATAAAAACGCTCTTGTTATATTCAACAAATCTAAACACGAAGAAAACCGTGTCTGTCTTATTAACAAGAAAAAAATGTACAAAATATTAGAATACAAACTTAAAAAAGAATATAAGTGTCAAAAAGGCAACATGCTCAATTACATGAGAAAATATAATCCTAAGAGTTTTTATAAACATTTCAAAAAAAGGAAGCAAAATGTTAAAAACGATTTGAGTGATACTGATTTTTTCGACCATTTCTATAAATTAGCTTTAACCAAACCAACTATTTATGCTAATGTTATTTTTTTCTGCAAGAACATGATTTTAACTCTTCGAATGTTACATTTGACGAATTAGACGCAAATATATCAGAAGCCGAAATATTTGGTGCAATTAAGAAATTAAATGCAAATAAGGCATGTGGCCCTGACAATATTTTAAATGAATACATAACTAAATGTAAGACGGTATTGATGCCTTGTTTTGTAACTTTATTTAACAATATACTTAAAGCTGGTCATTTCCCGGAAGCATGGTCAAAAGGTAATATTGTGCCTGTCTTTAAGAAGGGAGATGTCAACGATGTAAATAATTACAGAGGTATTACTCTTGTTACCTGTTTGGTGAAACTTTTTACGTCAATCATTAATAATAAGCTTGTGGTATTTGACCAAAAATATAGTAAAATAACGGATGCTCAGTTTGGCTTTAAGAAAAACTTGTCTACTATTGACGCCATATTTGCTTTACAATCTTTGATTAACCGCACTCCAAAAAAAAAAAATTATACTGTTGCTTTATTGATTATACAAAGGCGTTTGACTTCGTCAATAGACAAAACTTGTGGTTCAAATTGATAAAAGAAGGCATTGATGGGAGATTATTAAAGCTAATAAGGTCATTGTATACATTGTAGTAGTGTTAAATGTTGTGTTAAGCATAATGGTTCATTTTCCAATTATTTCAATTGTGAAAATGGATTGTTTCAAGGTGAAATTTTATCGCCATTATTGTTTACATTAAATGTTAATGATTGCGAAATGCAATTTTTAATTGACAACTGTCAGTCGATAGAAATTCAAATACTGAATTTGTTCCTTTTAATGTACGCAGACGATATGGTGATTTTTTCCGAAACGCCAGAGGGTCTGCAAGATATGTTAAACTCTTTAGAATCGTACACAACAAATGGGATATAACAGTCAATACGGATAAAACAAAAATTCTTGTGTTTCGAAATGGGGGTATTTTGAGAAATAATGAATGTTGGAAATACAATGGTCGTCAGCTAGAAATTGAAAATGAATTTAACTACCTAGGAATCTTACTAAATTACAATGGAACATTTAGAAAAACACAACAAAAAATTGCAGATCAGGGAAGAAAGGCTTTGTTTTCAGTTATGAATGTATGTCGGAAAAAATATTTTAATATTGAAACTCAATTATCAGTTTTTGATACGTATGTAAATAGCATTCTAAGCTACGGTTCTGAAATATGGGGCTTTCATAAAGCCCCAGATATTGAAAAAAATCATACTTTGTTTTGTAAACGACTGCTTGGCGTAAGAAAAAATACTTGTAATGTTATGGTTTATTTAGAACTTGGGAGGTATCCATTGTCATTGGTAAGAAAGTTAAGAATTATTAAATATTGGATTAAGTTAAAAAGGACTAGTAATTGTATTTTGCAAGCATGTTATAAAGATATGTTAGAGAATAAGGATAAATGGGTTTTAAACATAAAAAATGATTTATTTAGAATTGGCCTTGGTTACATATGGGAAACAGAAATAAATGATGATATGTGTTATAATGTTATTAGAGAAAGACTTATTGATATATATAGACAAGAATGCAAAGAAAACGTAAGAACATCTTCAAAGGGATATATCTATACATATCTTTATAACCAGTTTGATTTACAGTGTTACTTAAAAAAAACATTATCTAGAGAATATTTGAAAGAGATTACAAAAATTAGGTTATCTGCTCATAATCTAAATATAGAAAAGGTAGATATCAAAATATTGAGCGTAGTCTTAGAGTGTATGCTGTATGTAATTTAAATGACGTTGAAGACGAGTTTCATTTTATGTTGAAATGTCCATGTTATTCGGATTTGCGTGTTAAATTTTTGAAAAAGTACTATGTAAAAAAAACAAGTATGTTTAAAATGATAAATCTATTTAATGTAAATAACACAAAAGAACTTGTCAATTTGGCCAAATAAACCAATTAACTTAATTTGTTACACTCTCCATACTGTTTGTACATTGCTGGTATTGTATTGTATGTATTGCATGTATTGTATTGTATTGTCTGTAGATATTGTAAATATATTTTACTTTTGAAACCGATGAGTCAAACGACCCAAGGTAATAAAGAACTTGAACTTGAACTTGAACTTGCTTGTGATATAAGATTAATTGGGTAGTTTGGTGAGTGTTTATGATTGACATTTCCAAATATATTTATTGTAAGTTCAGAATAGTCGGAAGCAAGCAGCTTCATTAGTTTGTTTTGTTTGTTGGTATGTGTATATGAATCATGCTAAAGACATTTTATTTTGTTCTTAAAGTTAACAGCTCGGAAGTGATTTTCGATATACCAACCCAAGGCTGGTTTTGAGGCCATAACGCTATCAGCCAACTATCATGACTCTAGGCCTTTTGGTTCTTCAAAGGAAGTCGTTTGAAGGTGTTTTTTTTTACATATTTGAACTCTATGGCGTTCAAAGAAGTCAAGGGCATATTTGTTTGGTTCCTATATACAATATAATCATGACTCTAGACTTTACAGTTCAGAACACGTAATTTTGAGGTGTTTTTTTTTTACATAATTGACCACTGTGACTTTTTAATGTAATGTAGGTCATAGTCATTTTATTCGCAAATATTAAAAGGTTCCAACCCAGAAAACCACCAGCCAAATATCTTTCAGAGAAGTTGTTTAAAAATTTCGACATATTCGACCTCTGCGGCTTTGAAAAAAAAAAGTCAATTTCACTTTTGTTTGCAAACTTTAATGGGCTCCAAACAGGAATCTACCAGCCAAATATCAAGGCTCTTAGCCTGACAGTTCAGAAGAATTAATTTGGAGTTTTTGATATATTTGACCCCTGTGACATTAAAAATGAGTTTTTAGGAGGCATGGTAGTCCATTGGTAGGACGCCGGGCTCGCGACCGAAGGGTTGCGGGTTCGCGCCACGGCCCGGCAATGTGTTGTATCTTTGAGCAAGATATTTTACCCCGCTTGTTCCAGTCTACTCAACTGTAAATGAGCACGTGGTTGGGCAGTGCTATAATTGTTGAATGCTAGCTGTTAGTGCCGAAATGGCAGCTCCGGCTGTATGGTCTCCAGGGAGTTGAGAATTATATTGGCTGGTTGCAAAGGCCCTATAACCACAGATAATAATTTGTGAACCGCTTTGAGACGACCTACGATGTGATAAAGCGGTATATAAGAACCTCCAATTATTATTATTATTTAGGTATTTTTTACCAGCAAAATATGTATGGTCCACCACAGAAAGCTGTCAGTCAACATGTCATTAATCTAGGTTTTTTGGTTCTTCAAAAGAAAAAGTTTGAAGTTTGACATACAATGTATTTATATGTATTTTGTCATTACCTCTCTGAACTTGGAAGTAGATCAGGGTCTTCTTTATCTGCAAACTTTGTTGAGCTCCATGCAAGGAGGTTATCAGCCAAATATCATGAATCTAGATCTTTTGTTTTTTAAGGCCTTTGAGCCAGATGAGCTAAAAATAAGTAAGAGGTATCGCATGACAGTGACCTGAATTCCAAATGTTGTACGTCTGATCATCTTTACCGATTTGTATTTTATTTTTTTGGTACAGTTAAGTATTCATTCCCCTTGTTCTAATGAAACAGGAGTCTGTGCTTCTGCTCAATTAATCAGGTTTCACACGGGCTTCGCCCTAAGTTGCAAACATGATTATTTCAGATTAATATTTAATTGTATTTCCTACAAGGCCAATGGTAATAAATTTATAATACTGTATTTGCATCTGTTAGCAAGTGACCACTGCATTTAATCTCCGAAACCCAACACGGCAATTAATCGCACAAATCATCGATTTCAAAAATGTTAGTAGAAAACTTCTCCGTCTTTGTAGTTTCACCAGACCTTCTTGGCGAAGACTACCTGGAGTGCGTGGGGGGACGCAAAATTGGTTAAAAGAATTTCATTTCATTTTTGTTGTTGTTGTTGATATTTTGGGTTTAACATAAAACTATATACATAAGTAGTATTTAGTGTGGGAGAGGTGCGAGTACAGATGGAGTCAGCTGATCTCTGAAGGTATCTACGGTAGCACAGTCTACAATGGCTACAGGGAGGGCATTCCATTGGACTATGGCGCGCGGAAAGAAGGACCATTTAAGGGTGTCGTTTATTGCGGATATATGTCTGAAGTTTTGATCATTTGATTTTCTGGTTCTACTGTCAATAGGAAACTAAATACCTGTACACAGTGTACAGTTCTTTTGGAAAGAATTCGTGTGATGGAATGTTACTATCAAGCCAGGTTTCCGTGCCATCCCTAACAACATCCGTCACAACTTTTGGGATAAAACCACTTGCTCTCCAGAACGACCGTGCCAACATCCTTTTAAAAAAAGTTGTAGTTGTAGCTTCAAATAAAGTCTGGTATTGGTATTGTTTTTCATCATTTGGTTCACAACTATAAATATGACCCACTTAGATAAAAATTGAATCTTTTTCTTTAAAATGTTGCTTTGAATATATAATATTCATTAATATTGAAGTTGAAATCAGAGGTTGACTTCAAGGAGATGGCCCATTTATCCAGTTTAAAAATAATTCTAACTGACCTAATAAGCCCCTTACCATTTTATTTTTTTAAATATTTATGATATAGTTTTTCTTCTTAAACATTTAAATTAAGAGTCATCTAAGTTTTCAGGATGATGTATTTAATTCAAAAAAATAATTTGATGTTCATGTTAAAGGAAGAGTCTTTCATTACAGTATACGTCACATCTTAAATCTAAACCTTTGAAGCGTGTTTCAAATCTCTTGGTTTTTTAAGTTGTTTTGATAAAATTCATGAGAGGCTCATCTCAAATAATAAATATTGAAATCGGCACATATTTTCCAAACAGAAAAACCAATAAGCACATTTTAGCTATGCACACATGGTTATAGTGGTTGAAAGCATAGCATCAAATGTAAAAAAGAAAAAACGTAATATGACTTTCATGGTGGATTTTGCTGCAGAGACTATATCCTCATCTTTCATACTACCGGTATACATGACGGTGTAAGTAGCTAGGTTCCCAGAAATGAAGCTAAAGAATGATGTTTTGAATTCTTCTTGTTTAGTCTGATTTACTATTAGCATGTTGTGAAATATCAGTCTCAGACTGCCTAATAATAATGAATAAGGCAGAGTATATCAAATTCAATATTGGAGACATCCAACCATAACTCTTCAAGCATTTTGGATAATCAAATACTAAATAAAGGATTTTGTCTCGACATTTCATATAATTCAAATTGAGATCTTAAGTTTGGACAGACAACACATTGGTGAAGTGAGTTTGTCTGAATTGATTTAATTTGAAGTGTAAACTAAGGGGCAGTCAGCAAGTGTTGGTTCATCAGCAACTTGGAGTTTAAACCTGATGGAGTTTAAACCTGATAGAGTTTAACCTGATGGAGTTTAAACCTGATGGAGTTTAAACCTGATAGAGTGTAAACCTGATGGAGTTGCAATAGAACCTGTCGAACAGCTCCCAAATCATCCTCGAAACTCCAGGGATTACAATCTCTTAAATACTCTGCATCCCTGAATTATGTGATGGCAAAATTGACGTTGCAAGCCGATTGTTTTCAAGGAAAAAACCTGAACAATGCCAGGCTGCTGTCTGTCCTTGGAAGATTACATAGGAGAGACACCCGATTTCAAAGCTGGCCAATGTACTGTGCATTTTCATTTCAATATCACAGGTTGAGTGAGTCAGATAATCAAAGACACCCTTCAAGAGGTTTTATCTTTATTCAAATAACATTTTAAACAACATTTAAAACTAAATGATTGCACAGTACAAGGTAACTGTTTAATATGACTTGAACATAACAAAACATGTTACCACTCTCAATTATCACCTCTTCATCCCTGGAACAAAGGAATCTTGGGCATGAGAAAACAACTATACATGTTGATATTGACAAGGGATCCAGAATATCTAGATATAGGTTGTGGAATGTCACATATACATAAATTCGGTCTGATGCGCCACTCTCTACAAAGTTATGTCCCTTTGTTGATATGGAATACGAAAGTTTGTTTAAATGTAGGGGGCTATGAATTGCTTGCAACACCTTGCCTGGTTCCTCATGGACCCAAATCTGCACAAGATTCATAGTAGTAGAACATTTTGACACAAGATGCAACTTACATTTTGATGGCAATGACATATGGACTTGTCTAACACTCTTGCCCTGTTTCCCGTGTTATGTTATCTACATCAATTTCATAAGCAAAACAAAATGCACATACATAAATATTTATTTCAATCTCATTATCACGGATGAGGGGAATTATTGTAAATATTTTCAAATCTACAAAATTTACTTATTTCAACTGTTATTTCCTCAAGAAAAGAAATTATTGAAATATGATAATGGTTGGAGGAATTGAACTTTGGTATAATATATTTTGTTCATGTATGTATTCCGTCTTTGCGTATTGCATACATACCGTCTTTGCGTATTGCAGAGTTATCTTCTCTTGTGAGCAGTTATTGATTGTTACGTCATTTGTTTTGTGAGAGTAACGTCATCAAATTTTGAGAAAACGATGTCATTTTCTCACACAAACCAATGACATAACAATCAATACCTGCACATAAGAGAAGATAAATCTGCAATACGCAGACGGAATATGTTAACATTACAGTTCACATGTAACAGGAGAGGGTAAAGTGCAGGGCTAGACCAGGATTTGAACCTCAGACCTTCAAACTCTAGACAGATGTCCTAACCAATTGAGCTACCTGGACGCTGGTGATTGATTCAAACCTGGATTGTCCAGTTCTGTTACACAGCTATCAAACATTAATTTTGTAGTTTATCTTCAGGCATGTCCTGTACATCAACTTTAAAATGATGGCGAGTCCCATTACTTTTCGTAGATTCTCAAAATGTTGGCAACTCCTTTAAGAAAAGCAAGAACCAAGAATATGCAACCATTCGAATAATTAACATGGTCATATATTAAGTTACAGGCAATAAATAGTATTCTTAGATTTACAGAGTAGTACATGTACATGACTCAACTCTACTTAGCTTCTTAAGCTTCATGACACATTAATTACAGATGAGGTAAATTCTGAATAAGCGATAATTTTAAATAACTGCTAACACTGAAAATAGATAATCAAGTCATGGGATCCAAGATTATCACATTCAGATAATAAACTCATACATTCAAAGTACAATATGAAATTCTCAGTTATTGTACCATAATTAATATTATGGTACTTAATATGGTATGGTATAAGCTTGCTACAGCTTCATTCAGACCATTATGATGGTTCAGCCTTTAAATTTTGTAATTTGTACTGGAACAGCTCCTGCTTAAGGTCCTCATTTTCTCGGCGCAGTGCTTGAATTTCAATCATCAGTGGATCTAGAGCATTTGGCAATGTGAGCAAATCACATTGAGTTCCTTTTTCATTATCTAAGGTTGGATCGTCAACCAAATCACATCGAATACCTGCAGAGCAAAACAACATGATATTATATGCAGGTATTGTTTTTCATCATTTGGTTCACAACTATAAATATGACCCACTTAGATAAAAATTGAATCTTTTTCTTTAAAATGTTACTTTAAATATGTAATATTCATTAATATTGAAGTTGAAATCAGAGGTTGACTTCAAGGAGATGGCCCATTTATCCAGTTTAAAAATAATTCTAACTGACCGAATAAGCCCCTTACCATTTTTTTTATTTTTAAATATTTATGATATAGTTTTTCTTCTTAAACATTTAAATTAAGAGTCATCTAAGTTTTCAGGATGATGTATTTAATTCAAAAAAATAATTTGATGTTCATGTTAAAGGAAGAGTCTTTCATTACAGTATACATGTATATAATATGCCCTATATAGTACAGTACATGTATAACCTGTATAAATCGGATGTCAATGGGACAACTATTTGTCCGGTTTACACAGGTGTCCAGTTTACACAGGTGTCCGGTTCACACAGGTGTCCAGTTTACACAGGTGTCCGGTTTATACAGGGTCAGCATGTCATTTTTTGAAAATACAAAAATGTAGTGTTTTGCATACGATCTGTATACAAGTGTGTCAACATAAACAACAGAGAAATGAATCAATTGCAACATTAAATTATTTACAAAATACACAGTATAAAATACAAATGAAGGGCAACCCAATATTGGATAGCCCTGGTTTGTTTAGAATGTGTTGGCTTTAGATTGTAGCCAGGCGAGAGACATATCAGGACCAGAATGAACAGGTTGTCTTTACATGGATTACGATGCAAACTTTTGTGAAACAACGCCAGTTTTCGGAATGGACAGGGTCCGTTTTATACAGGGTTGAACAACTATGATTATATAAGGAATATGCCGGGACCACAAATCACAGCCCGTATAGACAGGCTCCGAATTAGACAGGTTATATTGTACAATAACAGTCATATTCACTCTTCGTGTAGCAATATGGGCATTGATATAAGTGCTGTGTAGCATGTACTACTTTAAATATATATTTTCAGTGCACTTAAATTTTAGTGCTTTATCAAATTTAAACAGATACAGGGTAGGCGCATTGATGAATTAACACACCAATAAATGTGCAATAGAAAACAATAAACAGGAACTCCATTTGGCACAATAATAATTTAGCATTATATCTAAAGCGCTAAATTAGATAACTGCTAAAATATGTACATTTACAATATCAGAGATATATTTTACATGTAATATACAACTGTATAATCATTACATTAACTGGATATATGTAACATTACCTGTTGTACTGCACGCGCAGTTAGCCGTAATTTCTGGTGGAGATAATGATGCTGGTTTTAGGGTGGAAGGTGCTTTTGTCGACATACAATTTGGAACATTTGCTGATATTATGGATAAATTTTGTGAAGAACAAATTTTAGCACCAGTGATCCTTACACTATGATTAGTATATCGTTTTGACATTCCACAATTTTTTGCAAGTTTTGACATGAAGCCTGCAAGACCATCACGTCCCATTGGTTTATTTCCATACCAAACCATCTCATCATGACCAGCTGCAAGTCTACCACGAGGATACTGCCATAACCTTTCTGTTTTTGGATTTAGTTTTGAAATATACTTTTCATATGATGCCACAGGGCAGTAAGGAGATCCTGGATCTTCTTCCATGAATCCATTCTTTTTTGCTTTACTTATACAAATATTTTTTGTTCCTTCTAAATTCTTTAAAACCACTTTTAAGCCAGTTTCAGGGTCTACGCAGACCACAAATGTGTCCTTTGTCATCTTCTCAAAGTTTTCTGATCCGCGTTTGTAAAAATGCAGTCTCACATCAAATTGCACTTTATTCATCAGTCCATATGGTGTCAGTGGATTCAAGTGCCTGGAATCATACAGCTCTCTTCTGTCCTCTTCAGATATATACTGGTAGTGTTCAATTTCTCCCTTACCTACAAATATTTTTTGAAGAAAAAGTAAGAAACATATATATGCAAGTACGTATACCTTTATGAGAATTGTGAGGACAGGAGTCTAAAATTCTATCAATATTTAAAAATAATCAATTTCATATTCATTTCTGCTGGTACTTTCAAACCAAATGAATAATGTTTACACATTTTCAAATTTAAAACTGAAGAGATGATTTCTTTGTTGAAAGAAAATGGCAAAAAATCAGCTAGTATTGCAGCAAGATGACATTTTTTTCAAAATGTGTAAGATTTATCTCCCCTGGAATGCATATATATATCAACATGTTTCCTTTTACAAAGTAGCACTACCCGTACAGGGAAAACTGCATTGGGCAATGTTTGATTTACTAGATATTTCACTTAAAGTAGTATTACTATGGTTATAATGGAAACAAAGAACACACTAATTAGCTGACTTGACGGCAGGAGGGATGTACAGTAGCGACGACTGTCGTTGACTCAACCTACCGGCGGCTCTCAGCTCCTTCCTCGCAGCATTAAAGCTCTGGTTAGCAACAGTAAAGATAGAATCTTTAATAATATCAAATTCTCTTGAATGAGGCGATAATTTCAAGTATCTATTAATGGCATGCCGGAGGTTGTCAAGCGTTGTTGTTTTGTACAATTTGCCACCCTTCGAGCGTACGTCATGGTAAAAATGACTGAGTTGAGTGTTCAATTCCTCCACAGTGAAGTCCTCAAAATTATCGCGGTGTCCCTTCTCACTTAAATAGTTACTGAACAGTTTCGCCCCTGACACCGTGGCTCTTACTGTGTTTATAGGCACGACGTTGGCCTTTTTAGCTGCAATTTCTGCAACAGTGCTACTTCCAAACCTCTTGACAGCCATCGTTGTTTTACAATCAGGAATGCACTAAAGACAAGATTTGGAAAACCAGGAATGTGGTAGCATTTTTTTTACACATTCAATAAATTCAACATTTAGACGACAAGATTTCCCCCCATACGAAAAAAATGCCGAATAGGAAAAGTATAAATTAAGAACATTTTTCAACAAAATTTATTCATCATTTTATAACCATGGATAAAGATAGTGCCGTGGCTGTGGCTCGAACCCGCGACCCTTGGCTCTCCAGCCCGATGCTCTATCGCTAAGCTAAAGGGAAATTCCCTAGTTTAAACATATTTTATTGCCAAAATAGTGACAACAGGATTGGGCACAAGTTATAACAACATTATTTACGCCCTTTCCTCAAATATATACATCAGATTTACAAACATGGCACAACTGGGTATCAAATAATATGTATAATAGTAGCATTACAACAACAGAAACAAAAGAGAAAGAAAAAGAAAAAGAGCAAGAACAACATTGAACAGTCTCACAAATTGAGTATAGAAATATAAAACGCCTTACGAATTAAAACCTACCGCTGGTCTTTATGACTTTTTGCACGTTACGAAAAATATCATTATTTTGTTGAGAAGACAGATCCGGAATACCAGATAACAATATATTTAAAGAGATTTCAATAACAAAATTTAGATTTTGAAACAATTCAAACCTCTGGTGTGTATAAACTGGACATTCAAAAAAGAAATGATAGGCGTTTTCACATGGAGATCCATAGACACAGGCGGGACTATCCACAATGTTGACTCTAAATAAATCATAATTTAGGGAACTGCAGTTGTACCTTAATTTAGTGTGAATGATATTTAGTTTTCGTTCACCATAACCAAAATAACTGGGCGATTTAGTGTCCAATTCACGAGAGATGGCTTTTTTTAATCTTCCTAAAGTGACCGATGATCTTTTAGCAGTATCTAAATTCCCTACAGCTGAACCTAATTAATCCACTTCTTTTACATTTGTATCATGCATCACGGAATTGAAACTGTTAATATGTTAACGTTAACCATGACTTTTGAGGATGTACACCTTTGAGAAGTCAAAAAATGTCTGTACTGTAGGCCTATTAAACTTTTTTTTCTTATATGCATTTTTTGAAAGGGGAATTGGCACAGCAGAAATGCCAAAAAAGTATGTGTCCATGTGCTTTATTTTGTGCTACAAATGCATGATCGGTCAAAGATACCAATTTGACATAATGTGATTTTAAGTGAATTTTTCTGTTTTGGCCATTTGCAGGACAAATTCATACAATCTCCTCCAACTGTGTTATCAGATATGTATAAATGTTTGCAGAATTGACAAAAATAGATTTTCATTTAAATTGTGGAATTAAAATTTCTTCAACTTATTCTTTTAACTAAAAAAGGCAATTTAATTAAAGTTATAGAAGGAGAAAAAAACCGCTGAATAACGTGAAACTTTCGCGTAATAATGCGAAACTAACGCGTAATAACGCGAAACTCTCGCGAAATAACGCGAAACTTACGCGTAGTAGCGCAAAAGGGAACGCGTAATAACGCGAAACTTTCGCTAAAAACACGAAACTAACGCTTAATAACGCAAAACTATCGCAATATAACGCGAAGGTAACGCGTTATAACGCGAAATTTGTTATAAAAAGTTGTTTTACGTTTGCATAGTATCAGTTGAACCATGGATGAAGAAGACCACGTGTATAAGTGCTACTACTTGATTAACACACAGTCCCCTGAGCCATAGATTGGGCCTCTACAATAGCCATGGTCAGCACTAAATTACCTTTTGTGTTGATGTGCTGTTAAACAAAACTTCACTTTACTTTTTTACATACATGATGCCATACTGTTGTAGACTACGATCTGTTCAAATGGATTACCTGTGTTTTAATTCGGACCACGCATAGGGACAAACTTCAACAAACCATACATTTTGTGGTAACAATTAATGTCTTTTGGAGAAGATTCATATCAGCCAATGATGTGAAATGTAACCTACGTGGTGTACAAGGAGGTTAAGATGAAAAGTTGTTGCGTGATACGAAGTCCCTAGAGTTCTGAATGGTGCCACACCAGAGTTTTGAATGTCAACGCAGGATAAAAGTATTGTTATATTAAATATTGTTTTCTAAAGAACCATATGTAACAGGAACTTGGTATTCCATACATGACTGGCCTATGGATGTAGATTCAATGTTGCGAAAGTGAAGTTTTCTTGGGTCGTAAATGGAGTCACGCCAAAAAGTTAAAGTTCAACACAGTATGTTAGCATTGACATTAAAAGGCCAGGGGTTTGATTTTTTTGCATAATGGTGTCTTATGAAGGTTGATAGTTATTTGTTTTAATGAAGTCCGTGGGGGCAAACAATGGATCACGCCAATGGATTAGCATAATATAAATTCAGTGCTACATTGTAAATTAATATAATGTCAAGGACCACAGATGTAATGGTTTTGCGGCAAAATATAGCCATGGTGAGCATCTAGGCCCCTGGACCTCTTGTTAATAAAAACACAGATTTATGGAGAGAAAAAATATTGTTGTTGATTTTATTATTCCTAAATGTTCATTGGTTACATCATTACAACATTTATGCATCATATAAAACAAGATCAAGACCAATAAACACACGAGGATATAAAAACCCAAAAAGTACATTGAAAAAGTTTTTGTCACATTTTTTTTTTCTCAAATGAAGATCGAAAGTTCCATCTAGCAGAAATTAAACATACTTGTGTGTACATCGTGTATCACAGAAGTGATAACATTAATTCCCTTAGACGGATATATAATTTTTTCGCGTCCTCGGCGTCATCAGGAAAAACATCCATTTTCTTCCATCAGCAAAAGGCAAAAGTCTCTAACAATTTCATCACATGCAAATTCTGACTTGGAGGTAGTTTCTTTAGCGCAAAAATGTATTTCATTTTCATCTACAAAGGCAGTGTTGCTTGTTATAACGTTCTGGTAGTGTGAACGTCATACTTGGTCTATTTCCACCGCGTATATCTAATCCACCGGTTATGGTGTGGGTATTCCAGATTTGTGTTAAAAAGTTGCATTAGCAACTTGTTTATATAGTATCCTTCGCGTTTTTCGCGTTAGTTTCGCGTTATTACGCATTAGTTTTGCATCATTACAGGTTAGTTTCGCGTTATAACGCGATAGTTTCGCGTTATTTCGCGAAATTTTAGTTTCGCGTTATTTCGCGTTATTGTTTTTCTCCTACAAAAATGAGCTCAATTGTCTTTCGTATTTTTTCACTATTTTTGCAAATTTAACGCTTGTTATATGTTATAAAATGTTCTGGGTTTTTTTAATATTTAGTGGACCAAAAGAAAATTCTCTTTCTAAAACAGCCATATAAAAGGGGGATCCGTGTGCTCCCTTTTTGTCCCAATATTATTAGTTATTTTCACCATTTTGGAGTCCAAAATCAAACGTGCTTCAGTTACACTAAATATGTAAAAAAAAAATAATACCAAAATTGTTTTAAGCACGAAGCTGACGTCAACATCATGAATATTTGGAGGAAACGGAGATCATGTCCGCAGAAGGAGAATACATTTTACGTGCATATAGGAGGTTTATAAAATACAAATTATCGATCTTTCCAACAGTAGACTACTAAGCATTATTTCGAACATCAACTAGAAATGTGGTTTTTGATGCAAGAATGTTAACGTAGGTGGGGTCAAATTTTCGACTGACATCTAGTGGTTTCCTCCCTCCTCGTATATATAATTATTAGGGTGGCATCTTTACCGAAAGTCGTCCTAAACCCCTAAAACATGTAATCTTACTCTGAACACCTTAGTTTAAGTAAAAAAATAACTGTAAAAGAAATTCAGGTCCCTGTGTGCTACGCCACGATTTCTCACCGTAATCGTGCTTAAATCGCTGCGTTCACAACACGATTTTACATATGGACATAGGCGACACGTTTCTCATCCGTCATGTTTTCTCACCCCAGTTTCCCCATGTCAGTTTAGTTTTGTCAGATGGATTTTATTCCTGGTGTTTTTGGAATAAACTTAACAACAATGACACAAGTTTTGTCAGCTTGCATTAATCAGGAAACAACAATTGCTCCGATCTAATGGCTTAGGTAACTTTTAAGGTGTGTAATTAGTTGCTCTGGAAGGGATGGTACATATACATGTTTTTTATGAACAAATATAACAATTTCTAGTTATGACAGGGTGAAAGCGAGATGCCAAATATGCAACAAACTAGAAACTTTCATAGGGGCTAGCAACTATACACAGGATAAAATAGGATTTGGCACAAGCTGATTTGTCAAAATTTGACAACTTGTCAATATGAATGTAACTTTGGACTGTTTTGTTTACACCTTTTTAGATAAAATATACAATCATGTACCAGTTAATTAATTTTGAGGAAATTTCGGGAGACCAGGCCACTTGACCATAGGACTCTAGAATCAGTTAGCAGGAAACACAAAAAAATACGATGTACTTCCATTGTCAAAACTACCGAGAACATCAATCGGAATGAGGCTACAGCAACCATGAGGCGACCAAATTATGTGCCAGAATATAATAATAATAATATAAATTGGCTGAAGTTATAAAAAAAAACTCAAGAAAAGTATGGCGAAGAGACATAATCCTACCAGGAAGCTACCGAGACCCTTAACTCTGCGATAAGTTTTGTGATAGAGGATGTGACTGGAGCGCTCCTGAACGTTCTATCTGCCAGCGGCGAAGATGTCTACGACAGCCCGTCATGACATTGTCCCAGTTCCGTCTGACCCTGACATCAGAATAAGACATTTTGTCAGGTATCTGACTGGTGTCGGCTAGACTGCATGTCTTAGTCTGGTGTTAGGGCGAGATGAACTTGGGTTAGTCGTGTCTGAGCTATCTTGTTTTACAGACTAAGAGGAATCGCAGTTTCTTCTGGTGTAAAACAAAATATTAACTTGACGAATCGATGTTGTTGTTGCTGCTGGTTTTTATTGGGTTTTTTGTTTTGTTTTTCTTTTGTGGGGTTG